GGGCCACAGACTGTCCCCATCCCTGCCTCGCTTAGTGAAAGATGACTTGCTGATGGACCGATTTCTAAGTTGACACCTAAACAAGTGAGTAGGATCTGGCCAGATCCAGGGAGTAAAGGAGGTTTTCCGGGCTATGTTTGATAGCAACCCTTTGATAAAGAAAAAAAAAATCAGCATTTTTGTTTTACCCACACCTTCTATTATGTTTTAAACTACACGGAGAAGACAGCATGGCTAAGAGTATAATCATTACAAATCATGCATAATCCAACATAGCAAGACGGTGAAAACTCAACATCACCATAAAAGAGATCTAATACTGAAACCAAGTAAATGGCAATAATGATAACAACCCGAATGTAATGAAAAATAAATAGCATATAGAGCCTTCTCTGCCCATAAGTTGGTGCTTCTGTACACATTTCGGTTCATTTATTATTCATTTCAGTTTGAAACACAGTTCACTGGACAAAGGCATGGAAGATTTCTTTAATAACTCTCAGTACTAATTTAATTCTACTTAAACACACATATTCTCGTGAATGCCACATGCTTTTCAGCATGATTTTATGTGTAAATCAGGATAATATGTTTTCAGGTCATTAAGTAAAAGGAAGCATGAACTAAAACCTATTTAATCAATGAGGTATCACCTTTAAACTGCCACAAGGTCATAAAAAAGATAATTTCAAAGCTATAAGTTCCCTAATTGTAATCAACAACAATCTAATAATGGGGAAAGAAAAGTACAGGCCTAATGGCTGCCATAAACTTGAGGGAATCCCTGTCTGTCTTTGAAGATATTTCGCATCCTCTTCTGCTGAAGGGCCATCTCTCAAATCCTGGATTTTTAAGACAAAGTGAATGACTGCATTGTGTCCAGGGAGTGTGGACCTATAGTGCACGGACCAACAGTGATAATGATGGAGGCAGGCATTCACAGAACAGGGGCGAAGCCAAGCCAGGAAGCTCAGCTCTATTCCACCATAAACAATATTTTAGTTTCATCCTGACCACAGAATATTAGCCCTTTTACTTAACCCAGACAGATATATTCACACCATGTGCACTGAGTCAGCAATAGAAGCTTTCTATATCTAACTGAATTCTGTGTGTATTTATGAGCGCTCCCTGTCTGTCTTTGAAGATATTTCACATCCTCTTCTGCTGAAGGGCCATCTCTCAAATCCTGGATTTCTGAGACAAAGTGAATGACCGCATTGTGTCCAGGGAGTGTGGACCTATAATGCACGGACCTACAGTGATAATGATGGAGGCAGCCAGGAAGTTCAGCTCTATTCCACCAGAAACAATATTTTAGTTTCATCCTGACCACAGAATATTAGCCCTTTTACTTAACCCAGACAGATATATTCACACCATGTGCACTGAGTCAGCAATAGAAGCATTCTATAGCTAATTGAAGTCTGTGTGTATTTATGAGCGCGTGTGTGCGTGCGTGTGTGTGTATGTGTACAGGGTATCCCAGGAAAATGTACACACACTTTTAACTCATTATTAATTCCAATGAGTTAAATATGAAACGAAAGAAACAACAATTGAGCTATCATCTTTTAAAGTCGCAATACATTTTTGGGATACCCTACGTATACACATATACATGCACATAAATATTACAGGATAGATCAACCAAAGGACTTATATGCAAGCATATAGGTCTAACCAATGAACACAGACAACAGGGGGGTGAGGGCATGAGTGGGAGGAATGGGGGGTAATGTGGGGATAAGGACACATATGTAATAACTTAATCAATAAAGAAATTAAAAAAAATATTACAGGATATTAGACCACACGTTCTCAAACTCATAAACAACTGATCAAATTAGCCCTATTTTGTGAATGCAATGTAAACTGATGTAAATTACAAACTAAGTCTGTGTAAATGCCATAAAATGAAGATATGATATTAAATATTCCATATGTCCTGTTATGAGGATATTACTATGTAACTTAAAAATCTCTCTTAAAGCACTAACTACTCTTTAATTCCTCACTGTGAATAGAAGATATCACACAGAGGTATAGAGTCATCACAGTTTTCTATCCTTCCCAGCACGTTGGGTTAGAGTTCAAAGAGGAAGCTATAAATACCCCAGGTTTCTTTCTTTGTTCTCACTTCTTCAAGAAGCACCTATCGAACTCCAATTCCCATTTTTATTATGGGTTCATGAAACATGAGGCTGCCTGAGTGGATCAGCCCCCAAAGTCTCTTTCCAGCATTCTTTTCTTAAACAATGCGGCTTCTGCCATTTAGAGTTCCAATGGTACTTCAGGAAACCTTCCTGCATCCATTCCATCATGTCATAAAAGGTGGATAGCAGTGCGCTGTTCTCATGACGCTGCGGGTAATGCACCTTTCCTACGGGGCTTCCACAGGATGGTAGGAATCCCTTATTTTCCTCTGGCGGGGAGGCCCTCCTGGCTTTCGTACTCATTGTGAGGGATGGTCCCAGCCCTACAGATTCCCATTAACAAGACAATGACATTGCCCCTCGATCCAGAACACAGTGGTTCCCGGAGCTGGGCTATGAGACAGACAGGGGTGTCTTGAGGACCCTCGTCCTTTGGTGTTTTCAGAAACATACATTCCTGAACACACAGCTCAGAACCGTGCTCTTTCTATTATGAGACACGCTTTCTACTCAAAGGCTATACCTGTCAACTGTAAGAACGATTTTTCTTCTGAGTACAGAGCCCCCAAAATAATTAAAATAGCCCGGCCAAGGTGGCTCAGTAGTTCAGCTGATATCAACCTATGAACCAGAAGGTCACGGTTCAATTCCAGGTCAAGGCACATGCCCTTGTTGTGGGCTCCATGCCCACTGGCAGCAGGAGGGTTGTGTGCAGGAGGCAGCCAATCAATGATTCTCTCTTTTCATTGATGTTTCTATCTCTCTCTCCCTCTCCCTTACTCTCTGAAATCAATAAAAAATATATTTAAAAACAATTAATTAAAACAGGGTAGAATCAACTGCACATCAAAACAATTATTCTGAATAAGTTAGGTCCTTTTTTTAAAAAAAAAACAGATGGTGTCACATTTCACACGTGAAAGTGACAATACTGAACTCTCATCATTAAGACATGACATTTAAAGGTGTTTTCCCAGTGGTGTGAGTAGAGTTTTCCTATCCTAGTACCTACACGCTGTCCCATTTTTGCCAAATAGAAAAGCTTTAGATATACATCTAAATTAGTTCTTCAAAAAACCAAGGACAAGAACTACTTGTGTTAGAAATTTAAATCTCTAATGAAAAATATGAATTTTGAATAGAAATAGTCTGAAACCCCCCCAAAATTTTCCCAATCTTTTAAACATGTATAAAGCAAGAGATATGTGTGTGTGTTACACACACACCCACACACACACACACACACACACACACACACACGGTGTGAGATGAAAGCAGTCTCAACAAAACAATAAAATAATATCAATATTAGGGTCTCAATAAAACAAAACAATAAACCAATAAACCAATCAGTAATACCAGTAAGCCCCTAGTTCTAAAAGAAAATGAAAGCTAACAGTAGACAAGGTGACCAGTGGAGACGTACACACGGACTTACCCCCCGGGGGCATCACAACCGCTGTAGGCGCACTTGTCAGGCTGCCCCTGGTGTTTGAAGCATTCACTTCCACCGTATAATTAGTAAAAGGAACCAGTCCGTCAATGGGCACCCACAGGTTGGTCTCTTCACCACGGTGCACGAGGCGTGTGCCACTCAGAAGAGTGTAGTTATTAGCTGCTGAATAAAAAGGAACGTATTAAAGTGAGTACGTACCTAAGGATTCTCTCCTGCTATTATTTAAATTTTTCTGGGGTTCCGAAATATCCAATACTAAACGGAACTATACTGTCACCACCGTAAGAGGCATTCCATGTGCCTTTATTCATTTTCCTGTTATGAAAAAAAAAGTTACCTGACAGATAACATTATGTTTTCTAATTCACTCATCACAGGGATTGAAGTAAGTGGCCTGACACTCTAAGATAGCGGAAACCCACGTCACAATGATCACGCATAACAGCAAATACCCTGTGCTGACATCTAAACTGATCAATTGATGAATCATTTACACTCGTTTCAGAGTTTCTCAAATAGTTGAATTTTCTGTGATACACAGACTGGGAGGAAATCACTCGTTTTCTCCCAAATAGAAGAGTTCTGCATATGAGTAGCGCAGTCAAATGTATGTAAGGAATGGTATTTATCAACAATGGGGGCAATTTCTGCTCATTTTGCTTGACAGGCTGGTCAACGGCTTTCCATCCAATGCCTGTTTAAATCACAACCGGTCAGAACATCCTGAGAAGCAGCTGGGGAAGGGAAGTCATCCGTGTCCACTTTGATCTGGGGATCCATTTCTCAGCTCCCTGAGAACGCGGGGCTATCTGGCTGCATCGAATGCGTCCTGATGCGTCCTCCCCAGGTCCCACCACCACCCTTCCTTCCGAGCCTTCGGCAGACCCATCCTCAAATCTCAGCGTGTCTGGGACGCAGGGCTGTCCTGCTGTCTGACAGTGTTTCATCTCCTCGCCTATGCAGCTGGGTGATGCTCAAGGTTAAGAGGAGTGAGAACTCAGACCGAAAACTGCACTGTAACATTTACTTCACTTTCAATGCTGCGTGCTTTCCTGAGAAGTTCACTAGAGGCCAATTTTTCTAGAGATTGCTTAATTTCAGTAAAATTTAGTTAGAATTACTCTTAAACACACAGCACACACAACAAAGAACCATTAAGAACAGTAACATTTACTACAAAGAACCTTCTTCCTTTGCCAAATTGCTTATTACATTTACCTTCAATATTCCCCAAAGAGAATATACGGTACCGAAGGGCTAAAACATGGAAATAATTCCTATTCATTTTTAGTGGAACAGGATGAAGACATAGTCACAGCTTGGCAATGCTTTTCATTTCCTAATATGGAAATAGACAACTCCCAGCTACATATGCACAACATACATTAGCAGGAAGTCCTGAAACCTGCCAGGCAGCCTTTGATAACATCAGGACGCTCTAAAAAGACACTTCCAAATCCTGCTGTATTAGTCCCCATAGGTTTTTCACAACTAGTCCACTTGCTTTGGCCAAAGATGACTGAGCTCTGAATGCATGTAGGGAGGAGACTCTGCTAGGTGATTATAACAATACCAGAGGCCCAGTGCACAAAATTTGTGCACTGGGTGGGGGGCGGGGAGGGGCGTGTCCCTCAGCCTGGCCTGCGCCTTATTGCTGGCAGTCAGACATCCCTCTCACAATCCGGGATGCTGAATGCACCAGACCATACTTTTCATACAGGTAAAAGACATCTTGCTGCTATATGGGCAGCTACATAATTTTGCCCTGATTATAAAAAGTAGTTCATAACATGATCCTTCTGAGGCAGTAGTACCATTTTCCCCATCTTATGGGTGGAAAAACTGAAGCAGAGAGAAGTTAAGTAATTGGCTTTGTCACACAGTTCTAAGTGTCAGAATCAGGGCTGATCACAAAATGTGCAAACCAGAGTCCATGCATGTCATCGCTGCATCATCCTGTATTTTTGGTGTTAGAGTAGCCTTGCCAGGTTTTATTTTTTTAAATCTAAGAGACTGTTCCCAATATATAGGGTAGGGTCCCTAGGCCTGGCCAGCGATCAGGGCCGATCTGTGGGGTGACTGGTGGGTGGGGCGAATGGCGACCCCGCTGGCCGGCCCCACCCACTCACCAGTCGGCCCTGCCCCCAAACTGCCCCACCACTGCTGCCAGTTGCCTCCCTCTGGGGTAGGGGGGCAGACGCTCAATGCAGTAAACTGCCCCCTGGTGGTCAATGTGCATCATAGAGACCGATTGTTCTGCCATTCGGTCTATTTGCATATTAGGGTTTTATTATATAGGCCTAGAGGCCCGGTGCATGAATTCATGCACTGGTGGGGTTCAGCTGGCCTGCCCCATGGGGCCATCGGGGGCAGGGGCAGCCAGGGCGAGGGGCCGTGTTCGTTCCAGTCATTCAGCCATTTGGTCAATTTGCATATTACCCTCTTATTATATTAGATGCTCAAAATGCATCAGACAGTTCCGGCATTCCAGAGACCTGGATAAGATTAAATGTGCATCACTTCTAAGCATTGTCTAAGAAAATGACTTAGACCATGAGCCGCATCCAAAGGCCGCCTTAAGTTCCCACAATGTCTAGTTCTGTGGAAGCCTTTTCTGTTACAGCCCAAACTACTGCTGTTGTCACACGCCCGGTTACAAAATATCAAAAAGGCCAGCTTATCCCATCAGACCCAGGCAGAAGTCCGATTGCGTCTGAAGGGTAGAACTGTGTACGTCTTTCAAAGGATTGAAAATTTCAAACCAATAATGAAAATTCTGAAACTAAGCCAAAATAATACAATTTTACAAATTTTGGGCTAGGTGCAAATGTAAAATTAATGCATAAATATATTAAATATGAATAAATATAATAAATAAATATATTTCACCCCCCCTTGCATTTTGTTGAGTTTTGAAGCGAATTTCTAGCTGTAAAACAAACACTATTACTAGCTTTGGAAATGGCAGAGCAGGGGAAAATATATTAAGTACCACTTTATTCTAAGTTTCCCAGATAACATTAATACGTGGTAATTATACAATTAGTTGTAACATTAAGTTCTAGTTATAGAACAATGATTACTCAGTAATTATAAGAAGTATGTAATTACTCAATAATTATGAGAAGTATGCAATTACATAAACCATTTTGTTCAGCTCAAAAAAGAACTTGTACATATCCGGGAGCCACACAGCTGAGCGAGTGCCACATGCAGCTCAATTCACAGACCTGGAGCCACTGACCGGATTTCAACTGTCCAGGAAGCTCACATCACCAGATTTAAAACCAAAACCGAGTACTATGCCAAGTGAAACAGGCCAGACAGAGAAAGACAAGCATCACATGGTCTCACCCATATGTGGAATCTAATGAGCAAAGTAAACTAACCAACCAGAGACATGAATGAAGCATGCAACAGACTGAAGTATTTCAGAGGGAAGGGGGCGTGGGGCGCGGGGAGAGATCAACCAAAGAACTTGGATGCATAGATGCATTGTCCACGGACACAGACAATAGGGCAATGAAGGCCTGGAGTGGGGGAGCGAGTGGCGTGGAGGGGGCCAATGGGGGGGAGGGGGAAGGGACATTTGTAATAATTTCAACAATAAAGATAAATTAACACTATTGAGATGTTTTAAAGTAAACTTATGAATCCCCATTATAGAACCTAGAGACTAAGACAAACAAATCAGGATCCACAATTTTGGCTTTTCTTTCGCTTCATTCTCCCTGCCCTCTCTTTCTTCCTTTGAACTTGACCATTGTGGGCCCCTAGGTATTGGGGAAAATTCTTACAACTGAAGTCCTCTAATCCCCACTCTATAGAGGGTGTGCTTTGTCACTTTTCACTGCAACTACTGTGTCTCCAGTGGGCTGGAAAATGCAGTCCCTTTGGTTCAGCCTCAAGAACCAGGCTGGAAACGCTGAAGCGATAAGCATTTCCTATCGCAGGTGAGCCTTCCTGTCTGGTGGGCCTCAGCGCGGACCCTATTTGTGAGTATAAGTGGATGGTGCAAGCCTTTTTAAGCTTGTGTTCTTGGTCCACAGCTCTCCATCACCCTGCCCCCAGGAGCTGGGCATCTTAGATGGAGTTCCTCTCTTCCAACCCTTTTAGAAAATATATTTTTTAATGATTTCAGAGAGGAAGGGAGAGGGAGAGAGAGATAGAAACATTGGTGACAGAGGATCATTGATTGGCTGCCTCCTTCATGCCCCCTACTGGGGATTGAGCCTGCAACCTGGACATATGCCTCACTGGGAATTGAACTGTGACCTCCCGTTCATGGGTTGATGCTCAACCATTGAGCCATGCCACACCGGGCAAGCTCATTTAAAATTTTTAAATAAACTAGAAAGTGTTTCAGGGTATTCCACATTCTAAAGAATTTTCTAAAAGGTTAATTCATGCATTCCCACTTTGCTATTTTATAGTGAATAAACAAGTGCTTAATGAAGAAACAACCAAAATAAACCTTCTGTCCTGTGGATTTCACTCACATGAACCCTTTTCCCTTTAGCTTCAAACAGGAAGCCATACTAAAAAGTTAACATCAATGCCCACTTTGAAGACTGAAAACCTTACTGTTAGCATTCTCAATGATTGAACATTAGGACACACACTATTATTTTTCAGGCAAAAATCAGCATAAGTAGATATTTTCCCATGTATGAGTCAGGGATGCGTAACTGATGTGTATCGCGGGAATACCATCTTGTTGGGTCCTCTAGACTGAAATACATAAATGGGTTTGCTTTCCCATTCTTGTTCTAATCATTGTCACAAGAATTTTAATGCACCATATATTCCGTAATTTTTTCCCTCCGTGCTGCACTGCTCTGACCTTTTCAATATTCTGTAATTTGACTGGCTGGCCATTTCCGTTCTCTCCCTTTTTACAGCCTTATTAACTCGTGGGAAAGAGGTGTCAGGAACAACCAATCAGAATAGGTAATACTGCAAAGGTCAGCGCAGTCTTGTACAGTATCATCAGCCACGGAAGGCTGTACGCCAGGCATTAACATCCTGATATCTTATTCATGTGACAAAGATTGTAACAAGAACAGAAAATGGCACAACACGAACCTGTTCTCCTGACAAAGACGGTAATGAGAAATGACAGCGAACAAACCAAACTGATTCTTGTTACCGAGTGAAGATTT